AGTTCAGTGTTTACAATACTAATATGATTGTATTTTGATGTTTAACTATAATATTGTCTTAATACTGCTCGGTTGTTGTAATATTATCCATTTTTGTGTCAATAATTGTATTGGCAATGTGGCCTCTTTCTGCACACATACAAACCAACCCCTGCCACCACCTTCTGCCACAGCTCCACTGGTCTAATGGTGTATGTCATGGACTTTCATGTGGGAGATCAGGGTTCAAAACACAGCTAATGCAACTTTAACAAAAAATCTCTTCAAATTTCATATTGTCACACAATTACCTTAATTACAAACACCTGCTGACGTGACAGGCACAAGCTGGTATAGAAAACACATTTGAACTTGGTCAAAGTTCATTCTGCAAGTCCAATGCTGCAGGCAAAGCCATGCTGCAATGACATGCTACATGGCAATGCACACTTGTTTTTACATCGTAAAAACCCATGTCTAGTTACTTATTAATTTTCAAGGCAACATATTTATCTTTATGTTTAACTTGCATTGAAAATAATAAAATGCCTGACAAATGTTCTAGTGAGTTGAATAAATAATTTTATTTAATAATCAGTTGTTGTACATTATAGTTTTGGAGAATCATCATTATGTTTGACTGAAGGGGTAGTAGTGATATGACAAAATGGCTCAGGGGTACACAAATCTAAAAAGGTTGGGAACCACTGCTTTAATGAAACCATGAAAAAAAATCCAAAACATTTAAAACACACAATTGACCTGCTTATATAACAAACATTGATTCAGGCAGGGAGGATTTATTGGGTCTGATTAGGACTGTCTCAGAAGAATATCTGACAGCATGAAGCAAAACCAGAAACTTTTATCTGCTGGGAAGAGTTGATTAGCGAGTGAGTGCAGCTGTGATGATTACAGATGAACAGCAGGTGTGTGACAGGTAAGAGTGAAACATGAGGCTGAACAGAAATAAATAATAATCCAGAAACAAACCCTGGCAGAAAAACCAACATAAAGTGAAACAGAGACACAAAAACACCCTCAAAACCAGAAAAAGCAACCAAAAACTGTCATGATTAGGTGTTAATAAAACTCCTGTTCTGCAAAGTTCTGTCCTCATCCACAGACAGAAGCTACACGCTGGTCATTGGTTTGATGTTTTGTGTGTTTTAGTGTTGCTTTTAGTCGCGGTCCAGCTGGCATCACACACAGCTGTCTTCACGTCACGTGAGATTTAAAGACCATTTCTTTGCATTACTGCGAAGCGTCAACATGTGGAGTTTCAGTGCTGTGATTTATCCACTCGCTGAACGGGTGGGGTGTGTGTGTGTGTGTGTG